TACGTAGATCTCACAGATTTCACTGTTATAGGAATTCCAGGTGAAATTAGCGAATGAAGAAAGCTTTTTTGAATAAATCTGAAGATGTTACCCCTGCTACTGCCGCTGTTAGCGCAGCTGTGCAGTGCGCTGAGTCTTAAGCCTGCAGGCATGCCCTTTGCTGTCGTCGGCAACCGCTTAGCGCCGTAAAACTACACCAGGGACGAGGTGGGTTGTGCCCTACAACTACACTTCGGACGAGGTGGGTTGTGCCCTACAACTACACCAGGGCCGAGGTGGGTTGTGCCCTACAACTACACCTGGGACGAGACGAGTTTCCTCCTAAAGCGGAGTAATCATATATAGTGTCTCGTAAGACGTATGGGTCAAATGAATATTTTATTTTTAATCAACTCAGAAAGCAGAATGGAATAATTGGCACGAAGGCTACCACTCACCATACAATAAATAGGAAAGTTAATTATACTGCGTGTTGTTGATATTGTGCTCCAGCGTTGTAATTGTACTCGTGAGCATAAATTCAAAATATTAAAAAGTGAGGTCGACGATAATTCATTTGATATAAGATGCTAGTTTTTAAGAAATAAATAAATTATGATTAAATAATTATTTAATTCAATGGCAGTGGGAAGAATCTCAACCAGCCTACGAGTCGTTGGCAAAGTCAAGAAGAGAAGAAACGCGTTTGATGGATATATCTTCAGGGCAAGTGCTATTGGAAGAATGCAGAAATGAGCTGTAACTATTCACACCCTGAGATCTGTCACAAATTTGCAACATTTGGAAGCAAAAACCAACGCGGATGCAAAAAACGGGAGAGACTGTCAATATTACCGTCCGTTCTTATGCTGGAATACTATTAAATATGTTGCTTGCAAACGTGATTCCTGTCGGTTTCACCACCTTAAACTCAACCTGCAGTTGAGTGGTACTGCCGAAGAGAGACGTGACTCTGAAAGTTCCTCCTAGGAACACCGGAAAGATTCTACTGCCAAACTCAAAACATCAGAAAAAATTACATGGTTGAAAAAAATCAGTTCTGGAAAGGTCAAATCTATCGTAATCAAAGGAACAGGGCAGATCCAAAAATTACCCCACCGGCCAACACAACCTACCGGAGTGAAGAAGAACAAAAAGGACTCGATATCAAGCGCAGAAATTTTTTAGGCCTACAGAGGCAAGTAGATCAGATTCAACAACAAATGCAGCAGCTGTTGAAATTGCACGAACAACAGCAGAAATCCCAGCAACAAATGCAACAACTACTGAGCCAGAGACCCCTGGTATTGCAGTGTTACAGCAACTAAGAACGCAAGGAAAGGAAGAGTCTAGTATAGTAGTAGTATAGTATAGTATCTTCGGCATTAAAGAATAGGCCTGCATAGGCCTGTCGCCGATTCTTGTACTTTTCTTGACTAGACTGGCCTTTTGATCGAATCTTTTTTTTTCTTTTTTTTACCCACTCTGGTTATCTCTTCACTTGGACATATGATTTTTTATAGCCGGGTGGGAAGTATACTTGCCAGTCTGTATTTTGAGTAATAATAAAAAAGTTAAAAGTCTTTAGAAGATACATAAATAAGTCCCTTAAATGGAAAAAAGTGTTTTAATAATCCGCAGGGAATTGTCGGCGTTACTGGGTTGAAACATTCTTGTCAAGGTATAGGCCTGACGTGCCCAATGATCTATTTATATTTATATTCGATTATATCAAAGTTCTATCACCAGTGTATACAACCTGACATTCCTAGTTGCAGCCTTCCCTCTGAAAATGTATGATTCCAAAATGTTATCTACAGATACAGTCAAAAGAAAAGTATTAACTTATTTAATACCCCAATATTTGAAATTTTAGCGACTTAATTTAGTGAAGCACAGCCCATGCATTAGGAAGAAATGACCAGTAAATCACCAAGTACTACGTATATTCAAAGACTATTTCAGATTTGATAATATCAATACTTGTCTTATTACTGAATTTTTATATAAGTTTGTAGCCAGACCAGTCAAATGCTCTCAAATATAATATTTAAACTTTATATTTAATGCATATAAAACATGTGAGATAAATTATGACGCAACTTAGAATATTGATTATCAAATCTAAAGAAATAATTTACATAATTTGACATATCACATTGATATTACAAAATTTGAAGAGACAAAAATAAAGCAAAATATATCCACTAGAATTCAACCTTTCTGAAGAGATCCTTTCACATGAGCATCTAAAAGGTTTGGTGCTGACATTTTCTTCCTTGACCTATCACTCTTGTTGCCGTGTCGAGGCAGCTTGTCACATTCCATCTTAACTTAACGTCAAACCTGGAAAAATATTGAAACTGTGACATAATTTTTATTACCAAATTAATGACAAAATCATTAACGTAATTACATGACATTAAAGGTTACATCATACGGGAGCGCAGCTGTGCACCACCAGTTTTGTGGACCAATAAGCCCTGAATCGAACGCCTTGGATCTCACCGGACACCCACCAATCAGCCGTGAACCACTCGGCTTAGTACTCCTCCGGCCTTGCATAAAACCTGCCGTGCACCACCAGGCCGCGGATAGAATATGACTTACGGGCATCGTTAAATTGCGTAATTTTACGTTCACCGCATCTGAGGTTAGGTTTCAGATAGCATAGTTCTGTTCCAAAATTTATCGTCCTTCGACTAATGGCCGTTCGACTGAGGGCTAGCTTGACTCACGGCCTAGATATGATGGTCCAGAAGTGTTGAAGGCTACGTTCCGGAAGGCAGGAATCATGATGGTCCATTACATCCATGGCAGTGGTGGTCTTCGGCAGGCGACCCCATCATACACCTTCAGAAGAAGATCTGCCAATCCTCTCAACACTTGCCTCCTTCCCTCACAACGCAGTGGATCCAAATGGATGGCTGGGTAATCTAGAGGAGCTCTCAGATATCCATATTGAGACAGTAAAACTGTAATTCTTACCCTCTATTATCTACCATCAACGCAACTACATAGTGTTATGTTTAGCACTTGTGTTGTGTATAGTAGCACTTGTATAACGAAGTCATGGACACCCAACCTTCAAAAGAAATTATCAACTTAATGAACAAATGTGAACTGAAAAACATCTTTCTGGACTACTAAAAAAAATTGTCCAATTATTATGTGGCAACCAAACCATAAAAATTGTAGTTCTGCCCAGTATTATATGGTTTTTGGTGACTTGCTGCAGGGTACCTATGTGCAGTTACTGCTGAGGTTACATACCTTATTGTACCTATGTGAGTATGTGTCAATGAGAGTTGAACTACACCCTGACCTCTATTAGAATTTTTTTTAAAAACTTCTTTTTCGAAGGATTTTTTGCAGCTTGCAATTTTAGAAAAATTGGCTGAAAATATTAGTTTTATCTAAGTAACAACAATACAATCTGGAGTCTGGACTATCTGAGGTAGGTATTTTGGAAATTTTATATCAAAAACATGCTCTTGCAAGTGGCACACTTGCTTCACTGCGCTCAGGTCTAGCAAAAATTCCAAATTAAATTGACAGTGTGTGTCAATTTAATGCTGTAAGTGTGTAACAGTGTAAGAAATCCATATCAATAGTTATTAGTGATCCCAATTATAAACCTATACCAGGAGCCAGTAGGCAGTACTGATAATGTGGGAGATAAAGAAATACATTCATAAAACAATTAAACAGGAACTGGAAGCCTCAATGGAGGCTTTGATTTTGAGCTACAGACAACAGAGACCAGAGTCGCCACAGCCCACAGGCCCACAGTGAGGTACTGCACTCTTCTTGCCGATATTCAGTAAAATTAACAATCAGGTAAATTTAATACAGGTACTCGCTACTCTGGTCAAAAGACTCAAAGCTAGTTCACAATTTGCGGTTGTTTTGTTTACATTATAGATCGCTTCTTTTAAAGGTCGGTGACGGTGAGGCGTGTGGTGAGTGCTGTGGCGAAATTAGTGGCATTGACGGTACATGTAAATAAATAAAATGATTAAACCAATTTACAAGTTTCGACTTTCTAACCATGATAATGATTAACGTAGAATTCAACGCCTGGCACTAGCATGGGTGAAAACATGACTACCAAAATAGAGCTCGTAACTAATACAAACAATACTTAAGGCTTGATCTAAAAACGGGAATTCTATGTGCTTGTCAGACCCCGGACCCATCATCCCATCACCCATGGCACACAATTGGGCATTAGCAAAACTACAACTTGGTGACCTTATTCCTGCGTTATCGTACAAATAAATACTGGAAAAGTTATTAATCTGAACAATTTGTTGTAAGAAATTATCTATCAATGACAAAAATGCGATAAAGCACTTGAACCTTGAATTAATTAAAACTGCCAAGTGACGAATGACCGCAAACGTCCCGAATCTCTACGCTTGTTTTCATCCCACGCTCTGTTGACCTCGCCACTCAGAGTCGCCAGTCGTTTGAACTGCTGAAGCGGCTGTCAGCTGTAGTGCCTGCTGAATGGGTCTTTCGTGTCAACCAACGCCGTAAGTAGAAAAATTAAGGAAATTGCTTTTCTGTGTCGATTTAATTGCTATCGTATCGGATTATGGTCCTAATAATATTGATTATTTTTTCAATATACCTATCTATTAAGATAAATATTTTTCATAAAAAAACGCTTTAATTATCACTCGCTGAAATTCTATGAGCAAAGCAAATCGTCTGAACATACAGACTGCTAGCTAAATATTCGCTTCAACTTTCCAACTTCGAGATTCATAGTTTGACAAATCACGATTATATTATTATTTAGAAAACAATATAAATAAAATAAAAGATACACAAAAACTTTGTACCAAGCATATTCAGGATGCGACAAGGTTTTGTACGAATTTTGCAATGAAAAATGTTGTTTGGCATGATAACAGAGAGAAAAAAAATCGTATTTTATTTATTTCGTTTTCTAGTAAGTCTATATATAGACTGATGTGGTGGCGAGCGCAGGTCGCTGCCAGTTGCCAGACGCACTTCATGTGGTGCTCAAGTCCTGCAAGTACAATGTTTTCCCAGACTGTGAACCGCATAAATAAATTGTAATAGTCTTATCGTACGACACAAAATTTTTAAATTTTATCTCTTTAATTATCACCAATTTCGCTGCTCTTGCCTCACTATAAATGATATCATTTCTTGCATTTTAAAAAACTACACTTAAAACTTGACCAAATCTTCAACTCTGATGGTGTTGCTTTATGATAAATCTGATTAAAGACGCTGAGAATTTAGGCTATTATGTCCAGGTAAGGTTTTCGTTGGTGGGTCCATATAATATGTAAATTTTGTATCAATATCAATAATATTTACGCATTCGAGTTTAAATTACAATAGATAAATTGGTCACCGCAGGATAGTCTTTCAACCAATAGCTTAAACAGGATAGTCTTTCAACCAATAGCTTAAACTTCGTACGTCTATCCATTGGCCAATGACGATTGAATGACAATTTATACCAGCACGTTTACATCGAAAGAAAGCCTTATTTTTTGCCGTCAATTCATTCGTCCTCCAGCAATCACGCATATCCAATAATTGTAGATTAAATTTGAATTGTAGACTCTTGTGCTAGTCTCTGAATTAACCCTTCAACAAAATGAATGGAGAGACATTTTTTAAATGCCTTCTCAACGGATTGAATCATTTTATTTGTAGAATTAAAATTTCTTGATGAAACTTCCTAATATTAACCGGATCGTAAAGCAACTTTCAACCGAGGAAAAAATTATCGAATAAAATCCTAGTGTAATTATCTATAAATATATCAATTACTCAAACAACTGTAAGAAAAAGGCAAAAACTTTTGCAGCAACACACTCTGAGGACATAACTTTAATTCTGTTCATGAGTCTTTAGCCGAGAGTTTCTGCCATCGGTTTGTCGGAAATTTGATTAAAAGACCCTATACGTGTGTGACATTACGATTCTACGACGAAAACACTTTTGAGATCGATAAATTTAGACTTAATCTTGAACCTAATCTCAATTTTCTAATGAAGCTCTCAATGTTCCACCGATACTATGCGGTAGTGGCCGGTGTGTTAAACCTGGTATCTTTGACTTAACATAGTTAGCCCCCAGGTGTCAAGCATTTTTTGCCCCATGGTTCAGCCACAGTTTGCCTCATGGTTCAAGCATTGTTCGCCTCATTATTCAAGAATTATTTACTCCATGGTTCAAGCATTGTTTCCTCCATGGTTCAAGTATTGTTTGCTCCATGGTTCAAGCATTGTTTGCTCCATGGTTCAAGTATTGTTTGCCACATGGTTCAAGCATTTTTATATTATTTGCCCCATGGTTTAAGCATTACTTGCCCCCATGGATCAAGCATTGTTTGCCCCCATGGTTCAAGTATTGTTTGCCACATGGTTCAAGCATTGTTATATTATTTGCCCCATGGTTTAAGCATTACTTGCCCCCATGGATCAAGCATTGTTTGCCCCCATGGTTCAAGTATTGTTTGCCACATGGTTCAAGCATTGTTATATTATTTGCCCCATGGTTTAAGCATTACTTGCCCCCATGGATCAAGCATTGTTTGCCCCCATGGTTCAAGTATTTTTCGCCCAATTAAGGTTCAAGCATTGTTTGCCTCATGGTTCAAGCATAGTTAGCCCCATGGTTCAACCACAGTTTGCCACATGGTTCCAGCATTGTTTTCCTCATGGTTCAAGCATAGTTTGCCCCATGATTCAACCACAGTTTGCCCCATGGTTCAAGCATTGTTTGCCTCATGGTTCAAGCATTGTTTGCCCCCATGGTTCAATTACAGTTTGCCCCATGGTTCAAGCATTGTTTGCCCCATGGTTCAACCACAGTTTGCCCCATGGTTCAAGCATTGTTTGCCCCCATGGTTCAAGCATTGTTTGCCCCAAAAGGTTCAATTACAGTTTGCCCCATGGTTCAAGCATTGTTTGCCCCATGGTTCAACCATAGTTTGCCCCATAGTTCAACCATAGTTTGCCCCATAGTTCAACCATAGTTTGCCCCATGGTTCAACCGTAGTTTGCCCCCATGGTTCAACCATAATTTGCCCCATAGTTCAACCATAGTTTACTCCATAGTTCAACCATAGTTTGCCCCATGGTTCTACCATAGTTTGCTCCATGGTTCAACCATATTTAGCTCCATGTTCCATGCATTGTTTGCCCCTTGGTACAACCATAGTTAGCTCCATGTTCCAAGCATTGTTTGTTCCATGCTTCAACCATAGCTTGCCCCATGGTTCAGTCATTGTTTGCCCCATGGTTCAACCATAGTTAGCTCCATGTTCCAAGCATTGTTTGCTCTACCCCCAGAGAGGATGAGGCCGTTTGTGCGGTGTGTGGCGTGACCGCGTCACAGAGGTGTGGCAGATGCCACGTAACGCATTACTGCAACAGAGAGCATCAGCGGCAGCACTGGCAGCAGCATAAGAAACTCTGCAATCCTTATGTGTAAGATAACGTTGTGAAAATATATTGGAAAATAACTTAGAATTTGTATACGCACGCACAAGTTTAAAATACCTATGAAATGATTTTAGCATTAGTTTTAGCGTTGATTGCTTTAGATGATGGATTTATCGAGTAAACGAATCAAATTCTTAATTAAATGGTCTGAAACAAATTTAAAGAATTGATTGATATATTTTAAATACATGCATCGACCCATTATTCTATTGATCCAAATTAAAATAACATAGCAACATCCGCGTTTAAGAATAGGCCGACTTGCCTTGTCGCTCATAGCAGAGACAACATTAAGCTACGCTTCTCAGTCAAGTTGTATATATGTTCAATTTTCCAAAAAGTTTTCAATTGTGAACCGCTCCTACTTGAGTCTTCTCATAGACTTGGTATCATTTACTGATCTTTTCGCACGGGCATATCGGTACTAACATATTATTAACATAATATCGGCAATAACATATATATTCGGCCATATATATCTTAACATATCGGTACTAACATATATATTCGGACATATATATCCTAACATATCGTTACTAACATATTTTCGCCCGGGGCTAATGGTACCTAACTTTTTAAAATTTAAATGCACAGTGTGGCCGAAAGTTCGACTCTTGGGCGTCACATCCTTGCGTCCCGTGACTTGCAGCCTGGCGAGATCATACTGAAGGACCCGCCTCTTGTACTGGGGCCTCGGCAGGTGAGATGTGTGGGGGAACTGCTGTACAACCTGAGAAATGAGAGCGGGAACAGCTGTAAAACCTGGGAAATGAGAGCGGGGGAAATGAGAGAGGGAACAGCTGTAAAACCTGGGAAATGAGAGAGGGGGAAATGAGAGAGGGAACTGCTGTACAACCTGAGAAATGAGAGAGGGAACTGCTGTACAACCTGAGAAATGAGAGNTCTAAGAACTACAACACCCGGACACTTGACTACGTTGGGCTTGACCTAGTGGAGGCCACTGCTCGCGTCCCACCACCTGTCTCTTATACACATCTAGATGTGTATAAGAGACAGGAACTACTGTATAACCAGAGAAATGAGAGAGGGGGAAATGAGAGAGGGGGAAATGAGAGAGGGGGAAATGAGAGAGCGGGAAATGAGAGAGGGAACTACTGTATAACCAGAGAAATAAGCGACACTTTGTTTGAACAGCGAAGATCTTTTAGCCCTTGTATGGGTCATCCTGACCCATTGCCGCAAAAAAAAGCGTAGCAATATTTTGAAACTATTACCCATTCTTTTTTTGAGTGTCTGGAGTTTCGATAGAACAGATATTTTCCCTATAAAACATTCTCTGCCTTTCTCCAGTGGAAAGTTAGAGGGAAACATAAAGGAACGCTTGGCTATCATGAACTGAACAAAGCGTTCACAACTTACGCTAATGTATTCTTGGTTTACATTGTGAGACTCTCCTTCCCCATGCTCGTATAAGGACGTCCGCTTGTAAAAAATATTCCTTCTGCATAAAAATATTTCTTATTGCATAATTAAGTCATTAAATGACTAATTTTAAATATATTGACTCATTATTTTATAGATCCAAATTAAAATAAAAGGAATGACATTTGGATGTGCTTCATCAGGCAACTTCTGTTAAATTTCAATCCTATTCTACAATAAAAATATTAATGAAGAATCAAATTTACATCAATAAACGAAAAATTGAGTATCTAAATGAGCTTTGAACATTTTTGACAGGTGACGGTGGCGGTTTGCGTAGGATGCAACTCCCCCGTAGACGGCACCTCCCAGTGCCCTCTGTGTGGATGGCCCATGTGCTCCCCAGAGTGCAGCCTGGTGGAACGACATCTTCCGGAGTGTCAATATACGCAGCAAAACAGACGATCTAAAGTTGTCATAACTGAATTCTTCGTCTTGAACGCCATGTACGAGTGTATAACGCCCCTTCGATGTCTCGCCTTGAGGAAGGATGCTAAACGCTGGCAAACTTTAATGGCAATGGAGTCGCATATCGAAGAACGCAAGCAATCCAAAGCTACAGATCTCGACAAGTCAAACGTGATCGACTTTATCCGAGGCTATCTCAAATACAACGATTTTAATTACGAAGATCTTTACAGGATTTGCGGGATTCTGGAAGTCAATGGGTTTGAGATCCCTGGTCCTAACTTGGTAGGCTTATATGGTAAGGCATGTCTTTTGGAGCACTCGTGCGTAGCCAACTCGACGAGGACATTTGATGCAGAAATGAATGTCATAGTTCGAGCTGCGGTTGCCATCAAGAAGGGTGACCACATCAGCACCTCCTACACCGACCCCATGTGGGGCACAGCAAGCAGACAACAGCACCTCACCACCACGAAGTACTTTGCTTGCCGCTGCGTGAGATGCAGCGATCCCACTGAGCTCGGGACTCATTTCGGTTCTCTGAAATGCTCTCAATGCGGCGGGTTGATTCCTCCTAATTTGACGCCGGACTCAAATTGGTCTTGTCCAAGCTGTGAAGCCATCATTCCTCATGCAGACGCTGAGGAGATACTCAGAGTTTGGGGTACTAAACTAACATCACTTCGGGGCAACATCAGCGAGTCAGAACATTTCCTGGAATTGAGCAAGGAGATATTAGCCGAAAATCATCATTATAGGGTGGATGTGAAATTGGCGCTCGTGCAGTTGCTCGGTGCGCAAATTGATTCGTCTTCAAAAAGTGATGCTGAGAAATTGCTCAAGAGGAAAATTCAGTTGGGCAAGGAAAGCATAGACATCATTGATGCCTTACTACCAGGTACAGTGAAGCTAATATTTTTCATGCAGATATTTTCAGTTCATAATTTAATAAATTTATGTGTGTGCTTTAACATGGAAATTTTAACAATGTCATTCCGCTCTAAAACAAATTTGAAGTAAAATGAAGTTCCATGATCCAAAATATCTTGTCGACTCGAAAAAATTCAGGAATCACATCAATGAAAATAAACTTTTTCTTAACCACCTTGTGAAATACTTTCCCACTCCAACACTTGTTGTACCATGAATCAGGCCTGGCCCGATTGCGTGGTATGGTGCAGTTCGAAGTAGGAACTTCATTTTTCGAGCTTTACAAGATGCAAGACAAACAACACCGCAGTTCGCCTCAAGTTCTGCCACTGCTTCAGGTAAGCTTTTAACAGCTACATTTAATAACTCAAGATTCTACTGAACAGGACCCGTGCATTTGGCAGGTTGGCCGAATGGTATAAGTTCCGAGTACCAGGATTGGAGAAGTGAGTAGCGGGTTCGATCCCAGCTTCCTGTAAAGGTTCTGTCCAAAATCGAAAAGTGGCTGGGTAGTTGAGAGCAGCATGATTGAAGCAGTGAGTTTCGGGTTCATAGCTCAGCAAGCAGCGAGAATTCTGTGATATCAAGAATTGGTGACAGGCCACATTAGGCCTAATGAACGCTAGCATCACTATTACTATTAAATGATAACTATTCAAGCCTTCATTCAAAGTAATTATATATTTTCCACTTACTAATTATATTGTATTCCTCCATAGGAGGCCTGCACGCGGCTGCAGGATGCCCACACCATCCTTGCTATGGAGTCCCCGTTGCAAGAGGAATACAAAATGGCGCGACAAGCGGCAGCGTTGCTTACAATGATCAAACAAGCCTTCAAAAAATGCAAAAGAAAATAAATTTATCAATTATGTGGAGCTTTAAAGCATATTTTCGTCCTTAAAATACTGCTCAAAATTGTTTAAAGATTAGTTTGGGAAATTACAGGTATATGGGTTGTGGTTGAATGAATTTCATTTTGTGAGAAGAGATACTGGGTTTTGCTTGGGTTCGAAACTAACATAATCGGAATTCCAGTTGTGTAACCGCCTTTACTTTGCCAAATAAAATTGAATCATCCTCCTGAGTAGTACAGTTGAACTACTAACTCCCTGTCTGCCTTCAAACCTTCAATGAAAAACATGATGGGTGCCGCATTGAAGGATGCTCGTAAGAGGAAATGTTTTGCGCTGTTTTCACATTGTGTGCTTTGTCTTAGAGTATGCTCATATATTTTTTAAATTTTTGCTCATATTTAATTCGGAGCTGATCAACAGACCATTGCGTTAATCACATCATCAAGGCTACAGAAATAAAGAATGAGCTCGTATCATCTCATAAAACGCAGGAATGTATTAGGTGATGAAGTATTAGGTTTCTGAAGAAAACTATTCGGGAAAATTACGTCAGCATGATCGTGTACGCAGTTATTAGACTTTTTTGGAACACCTCCTTCCTTAGTGCTGAAGTAGCATGTAAAGAAGGTACCTGATCCAACTGGAATCGAAATTATTGTGGGCTGGTCAGGCACTCCATTACGAAATTTATTACGTTGGGTATTACCAAAGAATGAAATTATGTGGTGGAATCATAGTAGGCTTGATGTCGGGCAATTTCGTTTATAAATAAAAAGTTTCAAGTTCCGTTAAACATCAAGTGGGACTTCGATAACAGTTCCGTGCGTTTTGTGGGTTTGAACGGGATACAAGTTAGTTGGCGTCACTGCTCAATATCACAATAACTGTTATATTCATTCCTGTGCGAAAGCGTGCCAAAGGGTAAAGTAGTCTATTATGTGTTCAAAGCAATAGCCCCATAAGTCCCCAACTACTGCTCAAGTCAGTATCGTCTCCATGAATGTTCAACCCCAGCATGTCCGCTCCTCCACACTAACCCCGAATACACACCACAACACGCATAATTTGAAGGCACAACATAACCTCACTGTCTGCATCAACTGCCCCCATTTGCGATACCGGTTGGCTTCAGCGGACTCAGTTGCCGGGCCAAACAGCAGGGATATCCCCCTCCCCGTCAACACCTCGTGCGTCGCAGGCCGTACTTAGGGGTCGGTAAGCATCGTCCCACTCCGACCCTTGCTTGTTTCCTTTGGTCAATGCTCCATCCCTGTGAGAAGACCTTTGCCATCTCAGTTTCTAACCGCCTCGTCGTCACTCAGGTCTGCAACACGTCAAGACCATTGCCATTAAAGCCGACGTCACCCTACGCATACTAAAAGCCCGACCGGCAGCAGCTGGGATTTCTGAATGGAAGTCATCACGGACATCGATAAATCAATTACCTGACCAATCATTAACGAGGATCTCCTTATTTGGCATTCAATTGCCTCCGGCTCCTCCATCCCCAGCCATCAGGTTCTGCACCAGCTTTGAGGCTCGTCACCGGTTGCATAAAGATGACCGTCACTGGCAACATATAAACTGAAACATTGGTCTTTCCCTAGGTCGTCCACCCGGATCTAGCTTGCTATCTGTTATTTTTTAGCATGCTCTAGACCAATATTCTTTTTTCCCGTTCATCTTCCCTCTTCCTTGGGGAAAGAACCATGAAGGAGACCTTGCAGTCCCACGTCGTCCATCTCCTGTCAGTGTTGATTAGGCCATTATACCTGTCGTTGATTCTGAAAATCGCAGAATTACCTCCTGTCGTTGTGATCTCAAATATGCCACTGTGTGGCCTAGTGGTTACAGTTCAAAGTTTTCTAAATAACTGAAAAGTTATTAACTCAAAATTATCAATTATTTGGTATTTGAAATTACGGGATCCTTGAATCCATTCCGATCAATCCCTAGCTAACTTGACCGAATCGTCGCTGAAGTGTCGATTCGGTGCTAACTTGCTAGTGATATATAACATAACATAACATAACATAGTGATGTCGGCTCTGAAGTGTAGGCCTGATGTGGCCTGTCGCCGATTCTTTTCCATTTCGTGCCTTGTTCATAGATTACAAAATTCGCGAGATAAGTCAAACCGGCATAGTAAAAAGTGAGAAAGTTGGGACCCGCAAACACTACGTGCGTCCTCGACCACTGCCAGATGCAAACTCTATGAATTAGGATGATGATTAGATCAGTTCTTAAGCAAAGAAGAAAATATAGGCCTGTGTATTTTTCAACCTAAAATCTGGCAGTTAAATTTTAAAATGAATTTCCTACATGACGTGGTGTACTTTAGTTCCAACTCCCAATCAGTGTTTTTCCATCAGAAGTAGAAGTAGCGGCCTTCCCACCAGCTGCAACAGCTGTCTGCTGGATGTAACTCGGACAAGTTTGTTTACTTCCTCACTCTCCACTTATTCATGATTTAGTTGAACGTCCAACTATACACATAATGGGGTGAGCGAGTGCGATGATTTTTTTTATTCCAAATTCTGTCTCAAGCTGTGCACGATTTTATTCATTAACGTTTATTAGTCTGATTCAGTGTATCCTAGTAGTGTAATAATGTAAAAATTTACATGTATTTGAATAAATAATAGAATCTTGTTAGAGAGCTAATATATTCTTATGTTATGGGGATATAGCTAATAATAATGCCCAATTGGGCACATTTTTCTTCTGATTATGGTTGAAAGTAAATTGTAAAAATATATTCTTTATGAGCAGTTGCTTATTACTATAGCCTAACTTCTAGTTTTTTTTGTTCAAATAAAATGAATGTACTACCTATAACTAGGCTATAAGATTTAAACTTGAACTCTTATTAACCTCAATTTCATCATAAATCATTCAGAAATAATAAATTGGACTTTATTTTTATATAGAGTTTCAGCAGTTTTTCAAGTTTTCTAAAAACTTCCTTTTCAGTTAGCCTACTTCCTTTTCAACTCACTACTCACCTATAATTCTTCTATCAAATTCACATGTAAAGTTAAAGTCAAATAAATATTTTAAAATTGAATAATTTTTAAAATTTCATATTTAGAATTAAGTCTAACTTTGATATAAACAAGTTTCAAATGTCAAATTAGCAACAGAGCATGTTGCCATTTTCTCAGAGTCAGCAATGCAATACGATGTAGATTGTAGCCTACACATACAATACAATAATATAGAATTGAATATTAAAATATCATACATTCATACTTACTTTTGTTTGTTGCAAAATGACTGACAAAATGACCAGGTCCAGCTTTCGTAGGTTGCACAGGCACAGGCGTACAGCTACTGGCCATGGTCAGGAAGATGTGCCAGGTGCGCGGGAATTTATATTGTCATTTTAACAACCTGTGCGGTGCACCGTACTATGCCGGTGAAAAAATGCGGCGTGCGCCGTACTTTTAGAAAGCTAAAATAGTTTATATATGGATGCGCGGCAACGCAAATTACGTAATCACACTGACCGTACACACAAACATGTATCCGCATTGTGTTGTGGTTGGATATGAGTTGCCTAGATTGCTAACGCGTCAACTCAGGACTCAGGTTCTAAGAGTCAGCACAGTAATGAATATTCATTCATAGATCACAATTCAATCAGACAAGAATTACAGAACTAAAGAAGGCAACATGGCTTTAGATGTGCCTTCTAATGAATGACTGGACTGGTTGTGGCAAGTAGGGTATGAACCTGTACGTCAACAGTACGAACCTGCATGACAATGGTGGGACTACTTACCGACATCCTCCCGGCCGGCAAAATCGACACGATCAATACCGTAAAATGGGGTAACTTAGACCACTTTTTTTCACACATATCATTCCAAGCTTTGTACAAAAATTGAAATTTGCTTAATTAAAAGCCTAATAGCTGTTAATTAAAACGTAATTAAGTAGTGTTCAATATTCGTTAGTGTTCTAATTAAAAGCCGTGTTGTATCCCGAAACAGCTCACACAGCGAACGGAATTCGAACACGTGGATGTCGGCATTACGTATCAGTTAAATTTGAAGCGCTGATGCAATACGACTCACCACGTGCCGAATATTGCCACACACAGTGTCGGAATATAGGGATTTTGTAGGTTTGCATTCTAAAGGCTTTTAAATAAATATGGCAACATTTTGTGACGTTTCATCGTTGCTGGCGCATAGTACGGTGTTTTGCGAGTCAAATAAAGCAAACAGAACTTGAGTAACGCATACAGTTATTTTTTTATAGTTTTTCATTTCTCGATGCGTCCTTAATGTGTCGGAATATACCGCGTTTACCCTAGGGTCAAGATATTAGAACTATGACATATCACAGTTAAAAATATTCACAATATCTGGGAAGTCGAGGATATGCCGACATGTTCAATCAGTTTTGAATGCCACAAAAGTGTTGAAAGCAGGATGTTTTGGTAATTACACACATGCCACGTAGCGCATGTGACATTGCATGCTATACATTTAGGGTAAACGCGGTATATTCCGTCACATTAAGGACGCATCGAGAAATGAAAAACTATAAAAAAATAACCGTATGCATTACTCAAGTTCTGTTTGCTTTACGTGACTCTCAAAACACTGCACTACGCGTCAGCAACGATGAAACGTCACAAAATGTTGCCATATTTATTTAAAAGCCTTTAGAATGCAAAACTACAAAATCCCTATATTTCGTCACTGTGTGTGGCTATATTTGGCTCGTGGTGAGGCGTATTCTGTCCGCGCTTCAAATTCTACTGATACGTAATGCCGTCATCCACATGTTTGAATTCTGTTTGCTGTGTGAGCTGTATTGGAATACAACATGGCTTTGAATTAGAACGCTAATGAATATTGAACACTACTTAATTACGCTTTTAATTAACAACTATTAAGCTTTTAATTAAGCAAATTTTAATTTTTGTACACAGCTTGGAACGATCTGTGTGTGTCCAATTCAAGTTGTGACGGAATTAGTTTTCATGTGTCTAAATCCATTTCTCAACTTAATCATCTATTAATTTATTTACCACTTGAAATCAGCAAATACAAGTAAACTTAAAGGATTCCTAATATATTCACAGATGTATTTAGGAGTCTCAAACCATAATATTCTTCCTATACAAACAGTTATTCACTATTTGTTAAAGCATGGTCAACTGTCAAATTTGACACATTTTTCGATGATCTCACTGGGTAGCGTGCATTGTCTCTCTTTGGATCTCAATATTTTCCCGCTAGATGGCCAAGACCTAGTGTTTTGGCAGTAGTTTGATGCGCAAATGTATGACGTCACCATTTCAACCATCAACGAATGCATGGAACTAAAACAAAGCTTAATGACAAAAAGCTTAATGAGAGTTGACGGAATTACCCATGATGTCAGAATATACCGCGTTTACCCTAAAGCAATAATTTTTAGCAACGTTTTGTGCACCATTATTGACACAAAATACATTTTAATTCTTATTAAATTTAATACAATTGTGTAATTAGTACTTATTATTGTTGAATATCAACAAATAAATTTGTGGCAAAGTTATTTTATTCAATATTAATTTTCCCTTATGGCTTTAGCTCCTAGAAAACTTTCCACAAATAGACTTTGTAATATACTTCTAATGAAAAAATTCACATGACATTAGTTTTCACATTTTACTTGAAAATTCTCATTTCAGGTGTTGAATTTTACGTTTTTCTTAGCTCGCTTTCGTGTCCGTCTGTCTGTCTGTCTGTCAGTTTGTGATGATCAAATCTTGCAATCGATATTTCACCAACTTACCCCTAGCTAGTGCTCTGAAACTTTTAGGGAAGCTCAGCTCCCGATGACAATACAATAATCAATAATTTTTTGCACGTTTCCAGGCGTATTTATCACTATTATAAACAAATTAATTTACAAGCTGGAAATTTGATCGCAGCGCCATTCCCTCTAAAGCGGCGATTTTCAGAACTAACAAACGTGGTTAATTCTTGCACTTGTGACGGACTTTTAAAATTTGAGAACGCGCGCCCCTAAAAACGCACAACAAATGTAAAGAAAGAAAAGTTTTGAAAAATTAAATAAATCGTGGTTGCGAAGTGAAAATTTGTTTAGCTAGTTTAGAGTGAGAGAAGTGAAGTGAATAGTTCATTTGATAGGACAGTGACAATCTACTGTAGTCATTTTCACATTTCTTTTCATCTTCTATTACAGTGAACATTTTATATTTATATATTGGTGAGTATAACTTTCGAAAATGGTGAAGGAAACGGCCACCCAAAAGAAGCGACGGCTAGAGAAGTTGTGTTGTTCTTATTCTTTATAAAAAGGAAATTGAAATTTTGATTGCAAGATTTGATCAGCACAAGCATACAAACTAACATAAAACTAAAAAGTAGAAAATAAAATGTATAAAAAACATTTTTAAAGACCACGTTTTTCATGTGGACTAAAAAGAAGAAAATAATTTTTCGGCAGCTACTGATCTCTGTTTGCTTTCATTCTCTTGGTCTTTTGTATTTCAGTTAAAATATTTTACAACATCTAAAACAAAAACGTGGGGCGCATCTTCATTTAGGCATGCCTTAATTTCAATTTTGAATTCAACCACTATTTCAAATTTCTCTATCACTATTCGTTACTCCATATACCTTTGATTTGATAGTGAGCTATTTAATGGTGAACTATTTAGATACTTAATGCATTTCCTTTTCAAATGTCTTAATATGCCTCTTAAATTGATTAGATATAGTCCACACGTTCATTTAAAATTCTCAAAATTTGATTCTTTAAAAATTTTCACATACCCTGACCTGCGTTATTCATGATTCATATCTTTACTTGCTTGAATTACTTATACACATTTCAAACTACCTATATTGGATGAAACTTGATAAATCAATATACCAACAGTAAATAACAAAATTTGCTCAAATCAGATATATCAGCAATACACTTATCAAATGTTCAATGAACCATCATATTCATCATATCAAGTAATCACCAAACAATTAAATACATATGCGCCCCACGTTTTTCGTTTTAGATGTTGTAAAATATTTTAACTGAAATACAAAAGACCAAGAGAATGAAAGCAAACAGAGATTAGTAGCTGCCAAAAAATTATTTTCTACTTTTTAGTCCACATGAAAAGTGTGGTCTTTAAAATTTTTTTTATACATTTTTTACTTCAATTGTGACAAAGCATGGAAATATGTGGTACAACTTTTACAAGAAGTTAGTAGCCTAAACACATGTCTAGTTCTTTACATTAACAATCAATGGCAATAGACTTTTGTAAACCCTACATTTGACTGGACCGATTGGTTCTAAAAGTGGTTTAAAGCAATGAATATAGCCAAATTGTAATTTATTTGACAATTGTACTGAACATGTGATAATATATTGTTTGCATTTTTAATGAAGAATTAATGCAGTTATAATGCAGTCTGACGTAACCATAACTATGCTGTTCCTGTGTCAGCCGCAGGGGTATTAACTCGTAA